TAAACCCCAAACACGGAAACCCAAGCTCTGACCCCCCTATAAAAAATTGTGCATGCTGAGGGTCTAAAGCTAGCCTTGAAATAGATTCGAGTCTGTAGACCTTGGGCAGATGCTCTGACTCTAAAGGATTTCTGGAGCCTAGACCCAAAAGGAGCAAAATTCCTTTCCCTTGGCATGCACCCGCTCAAGCAGCCAAAACCCTTACATCTGAGTTGGTTCCTCAACTCCGGCTTCAAAGAACCCTCAGCCCCCAACGGATAACAGGCAAGCAAGGTCTGCATGGGCTTCCTTCAAGGGTCCAGGGTTTCAGGGTAGGGCTTAGGGTTGTTTAAGGTTTAGATTTCAGTATAACTTACAGCCCGAAACCAGAGTGAGTTAATTAGTATCTGCTGGCTCGGAAGCCGGCCCCTAATCAGCAAACAAGTCGACATTCCTTTCAGGCTCGGTTTGAATTCTTGCTTCTGTAAAATCGATAAGCCATTCTTCATCAACCAAACACTGAAGATCCCAAAGCCCACGTCCAACTTACACCGGCCCTTTTGTAAAGGTCATCCATGAGCAACGCCAGCCTCTTCTACGGCTTTGGGGACGCTTCTCAAGTGCGCAGATGATGTGTTCAGGGTTTGCTGTTTAGAGCTGTGGATTTAGGGTTCAAGATTTGAGTTTGAGCATTTATGTTTTGGTGGGCTAGGTATGATTGCCTTTTCGGAGGCCTCGCTACCCTAAACCTATGCCCAAAGCTCTAAATTTTACAGCAAGGACCACACTCCCGCAATATGCACAGGACCATTACCAGGGATATTAAACACCCTACATGACGCTCATAGTGTTCCAATATGCTTAGGCCATGTAGGATGTTTAGTGTCCACAACCAGGAGTTTATCTCCTGCAAAATGAATTGCCTGGAAAGGCTCCTAAACCCTAAAAACCCAGCCTGAAACCCTAAATCCCTGCTTACAAAGCCCAAACCCTAAGCCTTGTTGAAGCCCAGGCTTCAAACCTTGATGGGAAAGTCCAAGCCTAACTGTAACTCAAAACATCGCCACCTGTCCAGTGCAGACGGTTGCTGTTAATGAGCTTAAGATAGGTTGTATTTACAAGCAAGCCGCATTATTGACTTTGTATCCATATTATGATGGTAACTTAATAAATCCTAAATCTTTAAAGCTAGTATTCATGTTCGTTTCCATTCCCCCGTGCCCCATTAAGTTCCTAAACAGCCACTCAGCAGAGGTACTTCTGGAAGCCCCGACAGCTGGAAGAGCTTGGCCTTTCTCCGGAGGCACAGCGTGGGGTGGTCTTCACTTCCCCCAAACCCACACATGGACCTGTAAACATGTCCGTTGTATGGCCTATCTGGCGTTCCATGCTTGTTTGCGGGAGGATCGGTTTTTAAATTCGTCCGTGTAGAGCTTGGTGTTTTTTCATGGAGGGATTAGGGTAATTCTAAAAAACTGAACCTTAAGCCCTGAGCCCAACCCTTATTCCCCAGCTCCTAAATCCTAAACTCTCCTGTGTTGAAGCCTTACTTACTATCAGAGCTTGAAGGTCCAGGAGGCTGGGACCGAGGACCTGGAGTAGGAGCTTTAGGTTTCGGATTTGAAGCTGTATGTTTCGGATTTTCGAAGTGCACTACCAGCGGATATGGCAGTGACCCCTGAGGTGCTAATAGATCATCAGTGCATAGTCCTGTACTACCGACATGGGAAGAAAGACAAGAGCACCCTAAGGATTCCCCAGCCCTTCCAAGGCGTAGCTAAAGGCTTTTGCAGCCATAGCGCTGAGGGCGTTGCATTGTAGGTTTTAGCTTAGCAAGGAGTGCACCTACAACAGTCTCCAATAGTTTCGCAAACGTTTGCATGATTGTTCGAGGAATGTGTTGTGGGGATCCATGACTTAGGATTGTAAATTTATCCAGGGTATAGGGTCCTGACTTGAAGGGGTTGGGGGAAAAGGGTACTGTCACAAAATTCATTTTCACGCGAGCTACAGACACACCTGTATATTCTGCCGGATCCCAAAATTCTCAGGCATTAATTATGTGACAGACTCTCCCAAGTCCAAAGTGGCATCAACAGACTTTGCTGCTGATACATGGCTGCTGCAGGGTCCGTCCAAAACTTGACCCAAATTTTCTTCCAAGCTTTACATGGACACGATGCGAACGAAATGTCCTGTTGAGCATATGTCCACTGAATTTATCATATAAAACCTTAAATTACGACGCCATACAGGCAGGATCAGCAGGCAACCCCAAAGCATGTAGGTACCAGCGCAGACCCGACCCCTCAACCACATAATAGTAGAATTTTCGCACGGCCTC